TTGTCCACTAGCCGAATGACGCGACAATATACAGTGAGTGAGACATACAGTGAGACAAGCAATGACACATACAGTGAGACACATAATAGTATAAGTTAAAAAAATGTGTCACTAAAAGCATGAACTAATTCAATTTTCATTCATTTTTCACATTTCAATATATTTGTCGACTGACTTGAAACTCCTGGGCTTGTTCTTGGGAATAAAGTTGTCGTTTGATTTGCCATGGTGTAGACCTGGTGTAGACCTGATGTAGACCTGGTGTAGACCTGGCCATGGTTTAGATCTTGTAGTGGTGTAGTCTTGGTCATGGTGAAGCAGCTGCTGCTGCCATAATGTAGCTCCTGGGCCCTGTTTCTTGGAGTGAGGTGTGTAGCGAGGTACTTGTGGCTGGTCTGGGCAGGTCTACAGCAAAGTTCGACCACCAGTAGCAAAAGAGACACAACATAACCAGCAAGAAGAACCAAGAAGGCAGTCAAGATGTTTCTGAAAAAGGATGTAAGTTGCTTGATTAAGTTTAAAGTCTCTCTACTACACGAGGATCATTAATACTGCATGTCATCTGTACACCACCAGTCAAGAATACTTTAATAGTGATTAATCTAAACCCTTAGTGTATATAAACAGAGAGAGAGACACACACACACACACACACACACACACACACACCAACAAGTGTTGGATGACATACGAACAACTGAGGAGGAGGTGAAGAAGCTCTTAAGTGACCTTGACACCTCAAAGGCGATGGGACCGGACAACATCTCCCCATGGGTCCTTAGAGAAGGAGCAGAGATGCTGTGTGTGCCTCTAACCACAATCTTCAACACATCCCTTGAAACTGGGCAACTACCTGAGAAATGGAAGACAGCTAATGTAGTCCCCATATTTAAGAAAGGAAACAGAAACGAGGCACTAAACTACAGACCTGTGTCTCTGACATGTATTGTGTGCAAAGTCATGGAGAAGATTATCAGGAGGAGAGTGATCGAACACCTGGAAAGGAACAAGATTATAAATGAAAAACCAGCATGGGTTCATGGAAGGCAAATCTTGTATCACAAACCTCCTGGAGTTTTATGACAAGGTAACAGAAGTAAGACATGAGAGAGAGGGTTGGGTAGATTGCGTTTTCCTAGACTGCAGGAAGGCCTTTGACACAGTTCCCCACAAGAGATTAGTGCAGAAGCTGGAGGATCAGGCACACGTAAAAGGAAGGGCACTGCAATGGATAAGGGAATACCTGACAGGGAGGCAGCAACGAGTCATGGTACGTGAAGAGGTATCACAGTGGGCGCCTGTTACGAGCGGGGTCCCACAGGGGTCAGTTCTAGGACCAGTGCTATTTTTGATATATGTGAACGACATGATGGAAGGAATAGACTCTGAAGTGTCCCTGTTCGCAGATGACGTGAAGTTGATGAGAAGAATTAAATCGGACGAGGATGAGGCAGGACTGCAAAGAGACCTGGAGAGGGCTGGACATGTGGTCCAGTAACTGGCTTCTCGAATTCAATCCAGCCAAATGCAAAGTCATGAAGATTGGGGAGGGGCAAAGAAGACCGCAGACAGAGTATAGGCTAGGTGGACAAAGACTACAGACCTCACTCAGGGAGAAAGACCTTGGGGTGACCATAACACCGAGCACATCACCGGAGGCACACATCAACCAAATAACCGCTGCAGCATACGGGCGCCTGGCAAACCTGAGAATAGCGTTCCGATACCTTAATAAGGAATCGTTCAAGACACTGTACACTGTGTATGTTAGGCCCATACTGGAGTATGCAGCACCAGTCTGGAACCCACACCTGGTCAAGCACGTCAAGAAGTTAGAGAAAGTACAAAGGTTTGCAACAAGGCTAGTCCCAGAGCTCAAGGGAATGTCGTACGAGGAAAGGTTAAGGGAAATCGGACTGACGACACTGGAGGACAGAAGGGTCAGGGGAGACATGATAACGACATACAAGATACTGCGGGGAATAGACAAGGTGGACAGAGATAGGATGTTCCAGAGAGGGGACACAGGGACAAGGGGTCACAACTGGAAGCTGAAGACTCAGACGAGTCACAGGGACGTTAGGAAGTATTTCTTCAGTCATAGAGTTGTCAGCAAGTGGAATAGCCTAGCAAGTGAAGTAGTGGAGGCAGGAACCATACATAGTTTTAAGAAGAGGTATGACAAAGCTCAGGAAGCAGAGAGAGAGAGGATCCAGTAGCGATCAGTGACGAGGCGGGGCCAGGAGCTGAGTCTCGACCCCTGCAACCACAATTAGGTGAGCAATTAGGTGAGTACACACACACACACACACACACACACACACACACACACACACACACACACACACACACACACACACACACACACACACACACACACACACACACACACACACACACACACACACACACACACACACACACACACACACACACACACACACACACACACACACACACACAACACACCACACACACACACATGCTGTAGAATCCCATAGAACACTACCAGGCCCCTCACCCCCCAGACCCCCCAGAACACAGTATTGGAGAGGAAACTGAAGGAATGGTGCACCAACGCTAATGGAATAACGAATAAGTGGGAGGAGTGGCACTAAAGAATCAAAGAGGCAACCCTGGACTTCATAGCTCTCACAGACACCAAGCTCACAGGAATGATAACAGATGTCATCTTTCCAACGGGATATCAGATCCTGAGAAAAGACAGAAGGAACAGAGGGGGTGGAGGAGTGGCACTGCTGATCAAGAACCAATGTGATTTTGATGAGCTGGAGAGAGGAGACAGAGGAGAAGCAAGAGACTACATAGTAGGAACACTTCAGTCTGGAGGTCCCGAGGTGGTAATTGCAGTGATGTATAACCCACCACAGAACAGCAGGAGGCCAAGGCAAGTGTATGATGAGGGTAACAGAGTGGCCAGAAGGGCTCATGCGAACAGGGCAAAGCTACTAACTGTGGGTGACTTCAATCACAAAGAAATTGACTGGGAGAACATGGAGTCACATGGGGGCCCAGAAACGTGGAGGGCTAAGATGATGGAGGTGGTACTGGAAAACCTCATGCACCAACACGTAAGGGACACTACCAGAGAGAGAGGGGAGGATGAACCAGCAAGACTGGACCTAGTATTCACCTTGAGTAGTGCAGATATTGGCGACATCACATATGAAAGACCCCTCGCGGCCAGTGAACATGTGGTTCTGAGCTTCGAATACATAATAGAGTTACAAGTGGAGAGGGAAGCAGGAAGGGCAGGACGAACGAAGCCAAACTACAAGAGAGGGGACTACAGAGACATGAGGAATTTCCTGCACAAGGTTCAGTGGGACAGAAACACTAGCAGGGAAGTCAGTAAATGAGATGATGGAAAATGTGACAACAATATGCAAGGAACTGAGGAGAGGTTTGTACCCATTGGTAACAGAAATAACGAGAAGGCCAGGATGAGCCCTTGGTTCACTCAAAGGTGTAGACAGGCCAAAACCAAGTGTGCCAGAGAATGGAAGAAGTATAGAAGGCAAAGGACCCAGGAAATAAAGAGAGCAGTCGTGGAGCCAGAAATGAATATGCACAGGTTAGAAGGGAGGCCCAACGACAATACGAAAATGACACAGCAGCGAAAGCCAAATCTGACCCGAAGCTGTTGTACAGCCACATCAGGAGAAAACAACAGTCAAGGATCAAATAATCAGGCTGAGGAAGGAAGGAGGGGAGATCACAAGAAACGACCGAGAAGGATGTGAGGAGTTCAACATGAGACTCAAAGAAGTGTTCACAGAGGAGACAGATGGAACTCCGGAAAGACGGAGAGGTGGGGTACACCATCAAGTGTTGGACACAGTACACACAACCGAGGAGGAAGTGAAAAGGCTTCTAAGCGAGCTAGATACCTCAAAAGCGATGGGGCGGGATAACATCACTTCATGGGTCCTGAGAGAGGGAGCAGAGGTGCTTTGTGTGCCACTAACAACAATCTTCAACACATCTATCAAAACAGGGCGACTACCTGAGGTATGGAAGGCTGCAAATGTAGTCCCAATTTTTAAAAAAGGAGACAGACACGAAGCTTTAAATACAGACCAGTGTCACTGACATGTATAGTATTCAAAATCATGGAGAGAATTATCAGGAAAAGAGTGGTAGAGCACCTAGAAAGAAATGAGCTTGTCAACGACAACTAGGACGGTTTCAGGGACGGGAAGCCCTGTGTCACAAACCTACTGGAGTTGTATGACAGGGTGACAGAAGTAAGACAAGAGAGAGAGAGGAGTGGGCAGATTGCGTTTTCTTGAACTGTAAGAAGGCTTTTGACACAGTTCCACACAAGAGATTGGTGCATAAGCTGGAGCACCAGGCAGGTATAACAGGTAAGGCACTGCAGTGGATCAGGGAATACCTGTCGGGAAGACATCAGTGAATCATGGCATGAGACGAGGTGTCAGAGTGGGCGCCTGTGATGAACGGGGTTCCACAGGGGTTAGTCCTAGGACCGGTGCAGTTTCTGGTATATGTGAACTACATGACGGAAGGAATAGACTCAGAAGTGTCCCTGTTTGCAGATAATGTGAAGTTGATGAGAAGAATACAATCGGACGAGGACCAGGCGGAACTATAAAGGGATCTACAAAGTCATGAAGATTGGGGAAGGTCAAACAAGACCGCAGACGGAGTACAGTCTAGAGGGCCAGAGACTACAAACTTCACTCAAGGAAAAAGATTTTGGGGTGAGTATAACACCAGGCACATCTCCTGAGGCGCACATTAACCAAATAACTGCTGCAGCATATGGGCGCCTAGCAAACCTAAGAATAGCATTCAGACATCTCAATAAGGAATCGTTCCGGACTCTGTACACCGTGTAAGTCGGGCCTATATTGGAGTATTCAGCACCATTTTGGAACCCACACCTAGCCAAGCATGTAAGGAAATTAGAAAAAGTGCAAAGGTTTGCAACAAGACTAATACAGGAGCTAAGAGGCATGTCCTACTAGAAGGTAAGGGAAATAGATCTGACGACACTGGAGGACAGAAGAGATAGGGGGGATATGAAAACGACGTATAAAATACTGAGAGGAATTGACAGGTGGACAGAGACAGGATGTTCAGAAATGGGACACAGTAACAAGGGGTCACAACTGGAATTGAAGACTCAGATGAATCACAGAGATGTTAGGAAGTATTTCTTCAGTCACAGAGTTGTCAGGAAGTGGAATAGCCTGGGTAGTGACGTAGTGGAGGCAGGATCCATACATAGCTTTAAGAAGAGGTACGATGAAGCTAATGGAGCAGGAAGAGTGATCTTAAAGCGACCAGTGAAGAGGCGGGGCCAGGAGCTGTGACTCGACCCCTGCAACCACAACTAAGTGAGTACACACTCACATACACACACACACACACACACATACACACACACACGAGCTAGGACTCGACCCCTGCAACCACAAATAGGTGAGTACAAATAGGTGAGCACACACACACACACACACACACACACACACACAACACACACACACACACACACACACACACACACACACACACATATATATATATATATATATCAGGGAAGAGAGAGGTGAAGGTTTATAAACTAAAAGAGGAGGCAGTTAGGGTAAGATATAAACAGCTATTGGAGGATAGATGGGCTAATGAGAGCATAGGCAATGGGGTCGAAGAGGTATGGGGTAGGTTTAAAAATGTAGTGTTAGAGTGTTCAGCAGAAGTTTGTGGTTACAGGAAAGTGGGTGCGGGAGGGAAGAGGAGCGATTGGTGGAATGATGATGTAAAGAGAGTAGTAAGGGAGAAAAAGTTAGCATATGAGAAGTTTTTACAAAGTAGAAGTGATGCAAGGAGGGAAGAGTATATGGAGAAAAAGAAAGAGGTTAAGAGAGTTGTGAAGCAATGTAAAAAGAGAGCAAATGAGAGAGTAGGTGAGATGTTATCAACAAATTTTGTTGAAAATAAGAAAAAGTTTTGGAGTGAGATTAACAAGTTAAGAAAGCCTAGAGAACAAATGGATTTGTCAGTTAAAAATAGGAGAGGAGAGTTATTAAATGGAGAGTTAGAGGTATTGGGAAGATGGAGGGAATATTTTGAGGAATTGTTAAATGTTGATGAAGATAGGGAAGCTGTGATTTCGTGTATAGGACAAGGAGGAATAACATCTTGTAGGAGTGAGGAAGAGCCAGTTGTGAGTGTGGGGGAAGTTCGTGAGGCAGTAGGTAAAATGAAGGGGGTAAGGCAGCCGGGATTGATGGGATAAAGATAGAAATGTTAAAAGCAGGTGGGGATATAGTTTTGGAGTGGTTGGTGCAATTATTTAATAAATGTATGGAAGAGGGTAAGGTACCTAGGGATTGGCAGAGAGCATGCATAGTTCCTTTGTATAAAGGCAAAGGGGATAAAAGAGAGTGCAAAAATTATAGGGGGATAAGTCTGCTGAGTATACCTGGTAAAGTGTATGGTAGAATTATTATTGAAAGAATTAAGAGTAAGACGGAGAATAGGATAGCAGATGAACAAGGAGGCTTTAGGAAAGGTAGGGGGTGTGTGGACCAGGTGTTTACAGTGAAACATATAAGTGAACAGTATTTAGATAAGGTTAAAGAGGTCTTTGTGGCATTTATGGATTTGGAAAAGGCGTATGACAGGGTGGATAGGGGGGCAATGTGGCAGATGTTGCAAGTGTATGGTGTAGGAGGTAGGTTACTGAAAGCAGTGAAGAGTTTTTACGAGGATAGTGAGGCTCAAGTTAGAGTATGTAGGAAAGAGGGAAATTATTTCCCAGTAAAAGTAGGCCTTAGACAAGGATGTGTGATGTCACCGTGGTTGTTTAATATATTTATAGATGGGGTTGTAAGAGAAGTAAATGCGAGGGTCTTGACAAGAGGCGTGGAGTTAAAAGATAAAGAATCACACACAAAGTGGGAGTTGTCACAGCTGCTCTTTGCTGATGACACTGTGCTCTTGGGAGATTCTGAAGAGAAGTTGCAGAGATTGGTGGATGAATTTGGTAGGGTGTGCAAAAGAAGAAAATTAAAGGTGAATACAGGAAAGAGTAAGGTTATGAGGATAACAAAAAGATTAGGTGATGAAAGATTGAATATCAGATTGGAGGGAGAGAGTATGGAGGAGGTGAATGTATTCAGATATTTGGGAGTGGACGTGTCAGCGGATGGGTCTATGAAAGATGAGGTGAATCATAGAATTGATGAGGAAAAAGAGTGAGTGGTGCACTTAGGAGTCTGTGGAGACAAAGAACTTTGTCCTTGGAGGCAAAGAGGGGAATGTATGAGAGTATAGTTTTACCAACGCTCTTATATGGGTGTGAAGCATGGGTGATGAATGTTGCAGCGAGGAGAAGGCTGGAGGCAGTGGAGATGTCATGTCTGAGAGCAATGTGTGGTGTGAATATAATGCAGAGAATTCGTAGTTTGGAAGTTAGGAGGAGGTGCGGGATTACCAAAACTGTTGTCCAGAGGGCTGAGGAAGGGTTGTTGAGGTGGTTCGGACATGTAGAGAGAATGGAGCGAAACAGAATGACTTCAAGAGTGTATCAGTCTGTAGTGGAAGGAAGGCGGGGTAGGGGTTTATGATTATTATTATTGACTTACGAGAATCCAAGTTCAGTATAGGAGGTGGGTGAGTTACAAGCAACAGGTGTGCCCCACCAGTACTGGTGTATACGGTCCAGTACACCGACGTCACTCATCTTCATTAACCTGTACAACAAAATTATTATTATTATTATTATTATTATTATTATTATTATTATTATTATTATTATTATTATTATTATTATTATTATTATTACTATTATTATTATCATTATTATTATTACCATCATCATTATTATTAGTATTAATATTACTTATAATAATACTGACTCTCTGTTGATAATCGGGGCGTATGGAAGACCTTTCCTAAATCCCAGGTATAAATAATCCATTAAATGATTGCCAGGAACCTGAAATAATTGATTATTTGAGGAATTATTGACACAAAAATTAAGTGAAACGTTGCCCCCCAAGAGAAGTCCAAACGTTTCGATTTTTTTATTGTCAGCAGTGCAACATTTCCATCCTGAATTATTTATTTAATGATTAATTCACTTAATAATTTCTTTTGATAATTTAATTTATTATTTTTATTATTAGTAGTAGTAGTACCAGTAATACAACTACTACTACTACTACCGTTATTATTCTTATTATTATTTTAGTAGTAGTAGTACCAGTAATACACTACTACTACTACTACCGTTATTACTCTTATTATTAGTAGTAGTAGTAGTAGTACCAGTAATACAACTACTACTACTACTACCGTTATTACTCTTATTATTATTAGTAGTAGTAGTAGTACCAGTAATACAACTACTACTACTACTACCGTTATTACTCTTATTATTATTATTAGTAGTAGTAGTAGTACCAGTAATACAACTACTACTACTACTACCGTTATTACTCTTATTATTATTAGTAGTAGTTGTAGTACCAGTAATACTTCTACTACTACTACTACTACCGTTATTACTCTTATTATTAGTAGTACTACTAGTAGTAGTAGTAGTACTAGTAGTGTTAGTACTGTTGCTGCTATTATTGTTATTATTAGTAGTAATGCAGTTATTATTATTATTATTATTATTATTATTATTATTATTATTATTATTATTATTATTATTATTATTATTATTATTATATTGCTCTTATTATCATTATTATTAATATTAATATTATTACCTCATTATTATTATTATTATTATTATTATTATTATTATTATTAGTAGTAGTAGTAGTAGTAGTAGTAGTAGTAGTAGTAGTAATAGTAATAGTATTGTCATTATTATTTTTTCTGTTAATTATATTATTATTATTATTATTATTATTCATACTATTGATATTATTGCTGGTAGTAATAGTAGTGGTACAATTATTATTATTATTATTATTATTATTATTATTATTATTATTATTATTATTATTATTATTATTATTATTATTATTATTATCATTATTATCATCATGAACAGGAGCTAGGTAGAGTCCTGGTAAAGATATTTCACTCTTCTTACCTCTACAACCGAACAGTTGCCTCTAAGTAAGTAGTCCAGGGTGGCACTTTCCGCGAATACAGCATACTTGCGCTGGGTCAGTACACGTTGTATACCCTCCACGTCACTACTATACAACAGGTCAGGATTTCTGGCCAAATCCTGGTATAGTTTCTGGTAATGGGCGCCCTGAGACACCTGAGACGAAAGTGACAGCCACTCATAATATATTAAAATACACATAAGCAAGCTGATAATTATGTTGGATTATAGACAGAGAATTATATTAGATGGAAGGGCAGACAAGGGTTACGAAATTATAAGAGATCTCAAAATCTGTGGTTGTCATCACGAATTTGTTGTTTGTAAAATCTTCTCTTAATTATTCTCTTAAGAATTACTTATGATTACAGTTGGCTATCTTAATAGCTAGCTATCTTCATGACTTGCATACTTTTGTGTATACATACTAGATAGTGTCAGTATACACACTAGACAGCGATAGTATACATACTAGATAGTGTTAATATACACTATGTAGTGTCAGTGTATATGCTAGATAGTGTCAGTATACTCATTAGATAGTGTCAGTATACTCACTAGATAGTGTCAGTATGCACACTACATAGTATCACTATACATACTTGATAGTGTCAGTATACATATTAGATAGTGTCAGTATACTCACTAGATAGTGTCAGTATGCACACTAGATAGTAATGTCAGTATACATACTAGATAGTGTCAGTATACGCACTAGATAGTGTCAGTATACGCACTAGATAGTGTCACTATACATACTAGATAGTGTCAGTATACATACTAGATAATGTCAGTATACACACTAGAAAGTGTCAGTATACACACTACATAGTGTCACTATACATACTAGATAGTGTCAGTATACATACTAGATAATGTCAGTATACACACTAGACAGTGTCAGTATACACACTAGACAGTGTCAGTATACATACTAGATAGTGCCAGTATACTCACTAGATAGTGTCAGTATACACACTAGACAGTGTCAGTATACATACTAGATAGTGTCAGTATACACACTAGAAAGTGTCACTATACATACTAGATAGTGTCAGTATACACACTAGAAAGTGTCAGTATACACACTAAATAGTGTCAGTATACACACTATATAGTATCACTATACATACTTGATAGTGTCAGTATACATACTAGATAGTGTCAGTGTACTCACTAGATAGTGTCAATATACACACTAGATAGTACTGTCAGTACACATACTAGATAGCTCCAGTATACACACTAGAAAGTGTCAGTATACACACTAAATAGTGTCAGTATACACACTATATAGTATCACTATACATACTTGATAGTGTCAGTATACATACTAGAGAGTGTCAGTATACTCACTAGATAGTGTCAATATACACACTAGATAGTAATGTCAGTACACATACTAGATAGTGTCAGTATACACACTAGACAGTGTCAGTATACACATTAGACAGTGTCAGTATATACACTAGACAGTGTCAGTATACACACTAGACAGTGTCAGTATACACACTAGACAGTGTCAGTATACACACTAGATAATGTCAGTATACACACTAGATAGTGTCAGTATATACACAAGATTCTTGCCTCCTTCTTACACTCCAGACAGTGTAAGAATACTGTCCTATAGTGCAGTAAATACCAAAGAAAGACATGTTAATGTCGTTATGAAGACCCTCAAGTACTTACCTGCAGTGTTTCAAGGTGGATGTACTTACCAACAGTGTTTCAAGGTGGAAGTACTTACCTGCAGTGTTTCAAGGTGGAAGTACTTACCTACAGTGTTTCAAGGTGGAAGTACTTACCTGCAGTGTTTCAAGGTGGAAGTACTTACCTACAGTGTTTCAAGGTGGAAGTACTTACCTGCAGTGTTTCAAGGTGGATGTACTTACCAACAGTGTTTCAAGGTGGAAGTACTTACCTGCAGTTGTTTCAAGGTGGAAGTACTTACCTACGGGGTTTCAAGGTGGAAGTACTTCCTGCAGTGTTTCAAAAGGGGGAAGTACTTACCTGCAGTGTTTCAAGGTGGAAGTACTTACCTGCAGTGTTTCAAGGTGGAAGTACTTACCTGCAGTGTTTCAAGGTGGAAGTACTTACCTGCAGTGTTTCAAGGTGGAAGTAAATTACCTGCAGTGTTTTTAGGTGGAAGTACTTACCTGCAGTGTTTCAAGGTGGAAGTACTTACCTGCAGTGCTTCAAGGTGGAAGTACTTACAAAGCAGTGTTTTTAAGGTGGAAGTACTTACCTGCAGTGTTTCAAGGTGGAAGTACTTAACCTGCAGTGTTTCAAGGTGGAAGTACTTACCTGCAGTGTTTCAAGGTGGAAGTACTTACCTGCAGTGTTTCAAGGTGGAAGTACTTACCTGCAGTGTTTCAAGGTGGAAGTACTTACCTGCAGTGTTTCAAGGTGGAAGCACTTACCTGCAGTGTTTCAAGGTGGATGTACTTACCTGCAGTGTTTCAAGGTGGAAGTACTTAACCTGCAGTGTTTCAAGGTGGAAGTACTTACCTACAGTGTTTCAAGGTGGAAGCACTTACCCGCAGTTTCAAGGTGGATGTACTTGCCTGCAGGGTTTCAAGGTGGAAGTACTTACCTGCAGTGTTTCAAGGTGGATGTACTTACCTGCAGTGTTTTAAGGTGGATGTACTTACCTACAGTGTTTCAAGGTGGAAGTACTTACCTGCAGTGTTTCAAGGTGGAAGTACTTACCTAGAGTGTTTCAAGGTGGAAGTACTTATCTGCAGTGTTTCAAGGTGGAAGTACTTACCTACAGTGTTTCAAGGTGGAAGTACTTACCTACAGTGTTTCAAGGTGGATGTACTTACCTGCAGTGCTTAAAGGTGGATGTACTTACCTGCAGTGTTTCAAGGTGGAAGTACTTACCTACAGTGTTTCAAGGCGGAAGTACTTACCTGCAGTGTTTCAAGGTGGATGTACTTACCTGCAGTGTTTCAAGGTGGATGTACTTACCTGCAGTGTTTCAAGGTGGAAGTACTTACCTACAGTGTTTCAAGGTGGAATCACTTACCCGCAGTGTTTCAAGGTGGATGTACTTGCCTGCAGGGTTTCAAGGTGGAAGTACTTACCTGCAGTGTTTCAAGGTGGATGTATTTACCTGCAGTGTTTTAAGGTGGATGTACTTACCTACAGTGTTTCAAGGTGGAAGTACTTACCTACAGTGTTTCAAGGTGGATGTACTTACCTGCAGTGTTTCAAGGTGGAAGTACTTACCTACAGTGTTTCAAGGTGGAAGTACTTATCTGCAGTGTTTCAAGGTGGAAGTACTTACCTACAGTGTTTCAAGGTGGAAGTACTTACCTACAGTGTTTCAAGGTGGATGTACTTACCTGCAGTGCTTCAAGGTGGATGTACTTACCTGCAGTATTTCAAGGTGGAAGTACTTACCTACAGTGTTTCAAGGTGGAAGTACTTACCTACAGTGCTTCAAGGTGGATGTACTTACCTGCAGTGTTTCAAGTTGGAAGTACTTACCTACAGTGTTTCAAGGTGGAAGTACTTACCTGCAGTGTTTCAAGGTGGAAGTACTTACCTACAGTGTTTCAAGGTGGAAGTACTTACCTGCAGTGTTTCAAGGTGGAAGTACTTATCTGCAGTGTTTCAAGGTGGAAGTACTTACCTACAGTGTTTCAAGGTGGAAGTACTTATCTGCAGTGTTTCAAGGCGGAAGTACTTACCTGCAGTGTTTCAAGGTGGATGTACTTACCTGCAGTGTTTCAAGGTGGATGTACTTACCTACAGTGCTTCAAGGTGGATGTACTTACCTGCAGTGTTTCAAGTTGGAAGTACTTACCTACAGTGTTTCAAGGTGGAAGTACTTACCTGCAGTGTTTCAAGGTGGAAGTACTTACCTACAGTGTTTCAAGGTGGAAGTACTTACCTGCAGTGTTTCAAGGTGGAAGTACTTATCTGCAGTGTTTCAAGGTGGAAGTACTTGCCTCAGGTTTTTAAGGTGGAAGTACTTATCTGCAGTGTTTCAAGGCGGAAGTAAATTACCCCGCAGTGTTTCAAGGTGATTTTACTTACCTGCAGTGTTTCAAGGTGGATGTACTTACCTACGTGCTTCAAGGTGTATGTACTTACCCTGCAGTGTTTTCAAATTGGAAGTACTTACCTACAGTGTTTCAAGGTGGAAGTATTACCTGCAGTGTTTCAAAGGTTTGGGAAATACTTACCTACAGTGTTTTTAAGGTGGGAAAGTACTTATCTGCAGTGTTTCAAGCTGGAAGTACTTACTACAGTGTTTCAAGGTGGAAGTACTTACCTGCAGTGTTTTCAAGGTGGGTGTACTTACCTACAGTTTCTTCAAGGTGGAATGTACTTACCTGCAGTGTTTCAAGTTGGAATTACTTACCTACAGTGTTTCAAGGGGAAAAGTACTTACCTGCAGTGTTTCAAGGTGGATGTACTTACCTACAGTGCTTCAAAGGTGGATGTACTTACCTGCCCGTGTTTCAAGGTGGGAAATACTTACCTACAGTGTTTCAAAGGTTTGGGAAATACTTTATCTGCAGTGTTTCAAGGTGGAAGTACTTACCTACAGTGTTTCAAGGTGGAAGTACTTACCTGCAGTGTTTCAAGGTGGATGTACTTACCTACAGTGTTTCAAGGTGGATGTACTTACCTAGTGTTTAAAGGTGGAAGTACTTACCTACAGTGTTTCAAGGTGGGAGCACTTACCTGCAGTGTTTCAAGGTGGAAGTACTTACCTACAGTGTTTCAAGGTGGATGTTTCTTACCTGCAGTGTTTCAAGGTGGAAGTACTTACCTACAGTGTTTCAAGGTGGATGTACTTACCTGCAGTGTTTCAAGGTGGATGTACTTACCTGCAGTGTTTCAAGGTGGATGTACTTACCTACAGTGTTTCAAGGTGGAAGTACTTACCTACAGTGTTTCAAGGTGGATGTACTTGCCTTTCAGTGTTTTCAAGGTTGGATGTACTTACCTACAGTGTTTCAAGGTGGATGTACTTGCCTACAGTGTTTCAAGGTGGATGTACTTACCTACAGTGTTTCAAGGTGGGTGTACTTACCTACAGTGTTTCAAGGTGGAAGTACTTATAATGTTTCAAGGTGGATGTACTTACCTACAGTGTTTCAAGGTGGATGTACTTATAATGTTTCAAGGGCTGAAGTACAGACCTGAAGTGTCTCGATGGTGGAAGTACCTCTGAGAAGTCCTATCCTCCACTCTGCAGTATTAACAGCTTCTTCAAGAGATGAGAATGGGAGACTGGTCGATGAGACGGCCAGGACAGAGGTGAGACGAGCAGTATAAGAGGCGTAGAGGATAACACAGGAGAGCCAGAACATACACAACACAGCCTGGAGTCTCGTGGTTCGTGGCAGCACCCATGATCCTGTCCAGAAAGATGTCGTGACTCCAGGAGTCCGCTGTGCGGGGGCGAACACATTTCGCTAGTGAAGATAACAGAGTGTTGAACATGTGTCTTATTTATCAGTGTGATGTTTCAACCTTTCTTTAATCCTTGTTGATACCTTGATACTTATGATACGTGGCGGTGGATACATTGGTACTTTATAATTAGTGACTTATTGTCGCCTCTTATACACAAAGTAATAAAATTAAATTGTAATTATTATTATTATTATTATTATTATTATTATTATTATTATTATTATTATTATAATTATTATTATTATTATTATTATTATTATTAATAGTAGTAGTAGCAGCAATAGTATATTTACTGGGAATCCTAAAACCATATGGGTCATACAAGACCTGGTTAATGAAATTTAACCAGGTTTGATCCAAGGAAGGTTAACCAATTCCTGGGGCCTAGACTCAACCTTCCAAATGTTAGAAAGTCGACGAACATTTGAACATATACCTTGCTGCACGAGACACGAGAAGAGAATGAAGAGAACATTGTGACCATTGCTAAAATGTGGATCCTCATCTCTCTGGTGCCAGACTATGACCATGAACCCGGCAGCCATAGTGCCTAGAAGCACGAGAATGGCTAGCCATGTTCCCCACTGGAAGGAGAGAATGTAGGTGTCCCATCCAATCATGTGTTGTGAAGAGTTTGACCAGATGTACAGCCTCATGCCAGTGTAGTCTGCAGCAACACAGCAAAAATGATCACATTAGTATCTGGTATCGTTATTATGATTTTGTTTTACTGTATATGTCGATAAGTGGTCAGTCTGGAAGATGGGTGGGGATGTTGTGGTACTGGAGGTGGGAAGTACAGTGTCTGCACTCCGAAGGATATGTGGGGATATTGTGGTACTGAGCTAGGATTTATAATAAATCTTCCAGAATATGGAAGGTATTAAGGAGAGGACTGATTGAAATAACTTAATAAAACACTAACCTATGGGTTCAGAGAAGTCCATTACTTGGTATCGTTCCCGTGTCAGTGAGAAGCCAGCCAGAGCCACGTCTGCCTCCTGTCACCCACCATCAGTGTACAGTAGGTTACAGTAAGGCTACATTAGTATTGTTATTAATATTGTTAAGTTTATCATGTTTATCAGTAGTAGTAGTAGTAGTAGTAGTGGCAACAGTAGTAATAGCAGCAGCATTAGTAGTAGTAGTGGTAGTCAGTAAGTTTATTTAGGTACAGGTACACATAAGTACACTTATCATACATATTGTAAATTACCCACCAGGATAAAAATGAGTCAAAGTGACTTATTACCATTGTGGTCCTTGGCCCAAGTAGTAATAGAAGTAGCAGTATTACTGTGGCTTGATGAGGCCTAATACTGGTAAAATCATCTTCTAAGTTTTCTTTTCCAAAGTTTAAGTTATTTGTGAAAAACAAATCACGTCTGCCTGAGCCATGAAAGTTACAGTGGTTAGCGTCTTCATGCATGCTCACTGTACAGTACATGCTCACTGTACAGTACATGCTCACTGTACAGTACATGCTCACTGTACAGTACATATCATTTCCTTCGTTTGTATTACGTTTTCTTAACGCACTAGTCGTCTTCCACAGAGGTAGGATGACCAAAACTAAAAAAGAGAGGAAACACTTTCACCATCATTCGTTTAATCACTTTTTTTGTCAGAAGTGTGCCGACAACGAACTACCAGGAATAATATTAAATGTGATATTCCCAGAAGAAATTTGGGATTTGACGAGCTGTTGGAGTGTGAGTGAGGAAGTATGTTAGATGGAGTTAATGGGAACTGTTTATTAACTAGTTAAGAGAAGTACAGTGCCTGCACTCTGAAGGATGACGGTGGTGAGTGTTGTTACTGTGGAGGTGGGAAGTACAGTGCCTGCACTCTGAAGGATGATGGTGGTGAGTGTTGTTACTGTGGAGGTGGGAAGTACAGTGCCTGTACTCTGAAGGATGATGGTGGTGAGTGTTGTTACTGTGGAGGTGGGAAGTACAGTGCCTGCACTCTGAAGGATGATGGTGGTGAGTGTTGTTACTGTGGAGGTGGGAAGTACAGTGCCTGTACTCTGAAGGAGGATGGTGGTGAGTGTTGTTACTGTGGAGGTGGGAAGTACAGTGCCTGTACTCTGAAGGATGACGGTGGTGAGTGTTGTTACTGTGGAGGTGGGAAGTACAGTGCCTGCACTCTGAAGGATGATGGTGGTGAGTGTTGTTACTGTGGAGGTGGGAAGTACAGTGTCTGCACTCTGAAGGATGACGGTGGTGAGTGTTGTTACTGTGGAGGTGGGAAGTACAGTGCCTGCACTCTGAAGGATGATGGTGGTGAGTGTTGTTACTGTAAAGGTGGGAAGTACAGTGCCTGCACTCTGAAGGATGACGGTGGTGAGTGTTTTTTACTGTGGAGGTGGGAGTACAGTGCCTGCACTCTGAAGGATGACGGTGGTGAGTGTTGTTACTGTGGAGGTGGGAAGTACAGTTAATAACTTGCATTAGTTGCACGTGTCCTTTTACCTAACATTTCAAAGGCTGATTCCTATCCTTTACTGAGGAAACGTTTGGACAGCCAGCGGCTTCTTCACTCCAGTACAGAAAAGAACGTGAAAGATAAGGAGGAGTTTGAGGTAATTAGTCCCTCAGCGTGGAGTCCATGTGTTCAGTCAAGACTAATGGAATGAACATAGACTCCAGGCTGAGGGACTGATTACCTCAAACTCCTTATCTTCCACCTATCTTCTCTGTATTGGTCTGAAGAAAGAGCTACCTGGAGAGCAGCTACCCACCCACGTCTGGAGTGCTCCCACCAGTCCTGAGTAGTTACCATCACCTTTGTCAACACCAAACTGGGCAGTGTCTGGAGGCAGGATCCTCAGCTTCACTCTGAGGGAACAAAATGATAACTTTGTTTGGATTAGTAACTCTGGAAGGATGTAGATAAATGGTTCAGAGAACCGAAAGTTGATAATTTAGGCATATGTGTAACACATGGGAATGTTTATTGTGGAAATGTTTCGCCATACGGTAGCTTCTTCAGTCCAATACAAAGAAGAATAGTGAAGATCAGAAGGAAATAGAGGTAATCAGTCCCTCAGCCTGGAGTCGATGTAATGAATCCATCAATCTTGATATGAATACAGAATACGTGTGAAGGAAGAGGTTATACTCTGCAGACTGGTGAGGTGAAGCAGTTATGGCAGGTGTCACCTTGGACAAATCTACAGGTGGAAGTAAGTCATTATTATAAGTTAAAGAAACATAGAATTCCCTGTATCAAGATCCCAAGATCTTGATAGTGGAAAAATATGTAAGTGGGAGAGGGCTAGGTCTGATTGGTGTCTGGCGTACGGAAGCAAATTCTTGAGTAGATTTGCGAAAAGCTTGTGCAAATATATGTATGGTTTTGATAAGGACTTGCCTTGTATGGGCTAGTAGGCCTCCTGCAGTTGTGAGTGTATGGTATACAATACCGACATGATGAAGAATTAGACACATGTGCAACATCTGGGTATCTTTATTGTGGACCATTCGCCAACCAGTGGCTCTGTCATTACAAATTCAAGGACATAACTGGAAGACAGTAGAACTATGTACAAAAGATGAGGTAATCGGCCCCTCAGCCTACGAGTAGGTAAGCACCGTAGTTTTGAAGACTACAGTGTTCCTAGGCTGAGTGACTGACTACTTGATCTTCCACTATTAGGTGAATATATTTCTAACGTGTACATGCATTGCACTGATAAACCTGATGGATAGTGAAACGTCTACAAGTAAAGATACCCACATGTTACACCTGTGTCTAAGTCATCTATCTTCATTATTTGTGTTTTTATTTCTTCAGTAAGTGTCAACCCTCTCACACACACACACTGATGTTCCATCACTTGCTGAGGAGGATCCCAGAAGGGGGACGAAATATAAAGATCAGTCAACACTTCCTGTGTTTCTGTCTCCATGTAGGTTATTACAGCGCACTGACAAGTGTTCATTACACTTTATTCAACATACCTGAAGTTGAGAGTGTTAGCCAGGGTTGTCAAGATGTCAATATGATATCCTTCATAATGGGACGTCTCGCCTTCCGTCTCTCCTGACGTCTCGCCTCCCGTCTCTCCTGACGTCTCGCCTCCCGTCTCTCCTGCTTCAGTCATCCTCACACCTGCTGAACATATCCAGAAAAATTCAAAATGAGGACCAAAAACTGAGACATGAACACCAAAAACAGACATGAACACCAAAAACAGAGACATAAACATCAAAAACTGAGACATGAACATCAAATTTACAAACACAGTCAACAGTTTCAACCACCAAACTACAATCACATATAGTGTTAGTGTTTGGTTGAAATAACAAGAGGAGGTAACCCGCCCCAGACAACATGATAACAAGAGGAGGTAACCCGCCCCAGACAACATGATAACAAGAGGAGGTAACCCGCCCCAGACAACATGATAACAAGAGGAGGTAACCCGCCCCAGACAACATGATAACAAGAGGAGGTAACCCCCCAGACAATGATAACAAGAGGAGGTAACCCGCCCCAGACAACATGATAACAAGAGGAGGTAACCCGCCCCAGACAACATGGGTAACAAGAGGAGGTAAAACCCCCCCCCAGACAACATGATAACAAGAGGAGGTAACCCGCCCCAGACAACATGATAACAAGAGGAAGTAATCCGCCCCAGACAACATGATAACAAGAGGAGGTAACCCGCCCCAGACAACATGATAACAAGAGGAGGTAACCCGCCCCAGACAACATGATAACAAGAGGAGGTAACCCGCCCCAGACAACATGATAACAAGAGGAGGTAACCCGCCCCAGACAACATGATAACAAGAGGAGGTAACCCGCCCCAAACAGCAAGATAACAAGAGGAGGTAACCCGCCCCAAACAGCAAGATAACAAGAGGAGGTAACCCGCCTCAGACAGCAAGATAACAAGAGGAGGTAACCCGCCCCAGACAACATGATAACAAGAGGAAGTAACCCCGCCCAGACAACATGATAACAAGAGGAGGTAACCCGCCCCAGACAACATGATAACAAGAGGAGGTAACCCGCCCCAGACAACATGATAACAAGAGGAGGTAACCCGCCCCAGATAACATGGGAAAAAAGAGGAGGTAACCCGCCCCAGACAACATGATAACAAGAGGAGGTAACCCGCCCCAGACAACATGATAACAAGAGGAGGTAACCCGCCCCAGACAACATGATAACAAGAGGAGGTAACCCGCCCCAAACAGCAAGATAACAAGAGGAGGTAACCCGCCCCAAACAGCAAGATAACAAGAGGAGGTAACCCGCCTCAGACAGCAAGATAACAAGAGGAGGTAACCCGCCCCAAACAGCAAGATAACAAGAGGAGGTAACCCGCCCCAGACAACAAGATAAGAAACACAGGTATTGTTATGTCCTCTTTTTTGTATGCTGTTGTTTCTCTGTTAAAAGTATATTAATTTAGAATTAATAATAATAATAATAATAATAATAATAAAATAATAATATTAATAATAATAAATAATAATAATAATAATAATAAAAAATTATTTATTATTATATTATTATTTTTATTATTATTATATTATTATTATTATTATTATTATTAATTTTATTAGTATTATTATTGATAACATTATATTTATAAGAAGAGTTATGCACTTAGGGGCACACAGAGTCTTTGGAACAGTGAATAATCATATTTTAAACTCAAGAAAATTGAGAACCCCTCCAGTTCCTTAAATCAAGATCCCTTCAGCAGCATCAAGGGACCTCCTCCCCCACTGGCAGGGAGAATCAGTCAAGAGTATCAACCATGAACATCAACCTCAACTCACCAAGGTAAGTGGCTAAACAGACGTTGTCTTCAAGATGTCTTGGCGAGGCTTGAGTGTGTCCTGGAACGCACTTCCTCACTCCTGGAGGATTCTGAAACATTATGGTGACTCGTTATTTACACACCTGCCACTGACTATCATAGTGGCATACAATGTACAATATGGTATACAATATACAATATGGTATACAATATACAACATGGTATACAATATACAATATGGTATACAATATACAACTTGGTATACAATATACAATATGGTATACAATATACAATATAGTATACAATATACAATATGGTATACAATATACAATATGGTATACAATATACAATAAAACAATATGGTATACAATATACAATATACAAATGGTTTTACAATGTACAATATGGATACAAAATACAATATGGTATACAATATACAATATGGTATACAATATACAATATAGTATACAATGTACAATATGGTATACAATATACAATATAGTATACAATATACAATATGGTATACAATATACAATATAGTATACAATATACAATATGGTATACAAAAATACAATATGGTATACAATATACAATATACAATATGGTATTTCAATATACAATATGGTATACAATATAAAAATAGGTATACAATATACAATATGGTATACAATATACAATATGGTATACAATATACAATATGGTATACAATATACAATATGGTATACAATATACAATATGGTATACAATACACAATATAGTATACAATATACAATGGTATACAATATACAATATGGTATACAATATACAATATGGTATACAATATGCAATATACAATGTGGTATACAATATACAATATGGTATACAATATACAATATGGTATACAATATACAATATACAATGTGGTATACAATATACAATATGGTATACAATTTACAATATACAATATGGTATACAATATACAATATGGTATACAATATACAATATACAATATGGTATACAATATAAATATGGTAAAACATATACAATATGGTATACAATATACAATATGGATACAATATACAATATGGATACAATATACAATATGGTATACATATACAATAAAACAATAACAATATGGTAAAACAATATACAATATACAATATGGTATACAATATACAATATACAATATGGTATACAATATACAATATACAATACGATATACAATATACAATATACAATATGGTATGCAATATACAATATGGTATACAATATACAATATACAATACCAACAGTCAATTACTACACAGGATGTTCCAGAGATGTGACACAGCACCAAGGGGTCACTACTGGATGTTCCAGATATGTGACACAGCATCAAGGGGTCACAACTGGATGTTCCAGAGATGTGACACAGCACCAAGGGGTCACAACTGGATGTTCCAGAGATGTGACACAGCACCAAGGGGTCACTACTGGATGTTCCAGAGATGTGACACAGCACCAAGGGGTCACAACTGGATGTTCCAGAGATGTGACACAGCACCAAGGGGTCACAACTGGATGTTCCAGAGATGTGACACAGCACCAAAGGGTCACAACTGGATATTCCAGAGATGTGACACAGCACCAAGGGGTCACAACTGGATGTTCCCGAGATGTGACACAGCACCAAGGGGTCACAACTGGAGTTCCAGAGATGTGGGCACAGCACCCAAAGGGGTCACAACTGGATGTTTTAAGAGATGGACACAGCACCAAGGGTCACTACTGGGGTGTTCCAGAGAGTGACACAGCACCAAGTGGTCCCCAACTGGATGTTCCAGAGATGTGACACAGCACCAAGGGGTCACCACTGGATGTTCCAGAGATGTGACACAGCACCAAGTGGTCACAACTGGATGTTCCAGAGATGTGACACAGCACCAAGGGGTCACTACTGGATGTTCCAGAGATATGACACAGCACCAAGGGGTCAAAACTGGATGTTCCAGAGATGTGACACAGCACCAAGGGGTCCAACTGGATGTTCCAGAGATGTGGGCACAGCACCAAGGGGTCACTACTGGATTTTCCAGAGATGTGACACAGCACCAAGGGGTCACAACTGGATGTTCCAGAGATGTGACACAGCACCAAGGGGTCACAACTGGATGTTCCAGAGATGTGACACAGCACCAAGGGGTCACAACTGGATGTTCCAGAGATGTGACACAGCATCAAGGGGTCACAACTGGATGTTCCAGAGATGTGACACAGCACCAAGGGGTCACAACTGGATGTTCCAGAGATGTGACACAGCACCAAGGGGTCACTACTGGATGTTCCAGAGATGTGACACAGCACCAAGGGGTCACAACTGGATGTTCCAGAGATGTGACACAGCACCCAAAGGGGGCACAACTGGATGTTCCAGAGATGTGACACAGCACCAAGGGGTCACAACTGGATGTTCCAGAGATGTGACACAGCACCAAGGGGTCACAACTGGATGTTCCAGAGATGTGACGCAGCACAAAGGGGTCACAACTGGATGTTCCAGAGATGTGACAAAGCACCAAGGGGTCACAACTGGATGTTCCAGAGATGTGACACAGCACCAAGGGGTCACAACTGGATGTTCCAGAGATGTGACACAGCACCAAAGGATCACAACTGGATGTTCCAGAGATGTGACAAAGCAGCAAGGGGTCACATCTGGATGTTCCAGAGATGTGACACAGCACCAAGGGGTCACAACTGTATGTTCCAGAGATGTGACACAGCACCAAGGGGTCACAACTGGATGTTCCAGAGATGTGACATAGCACCAAGGGGTCACAACTGCATGTTCCAGAGATGTGACACAGCACCAAGGGGTCACAACTGAAAACTGAAGACTCAGATGAGTCACAGGGATGTTAGGAAGTATTTCTTCAGTTACAGAACTGTCGGAAAGTATAATAGTCTGGATAGATGTAGTGGAGGCAGGATCCATACACAGCTTTATGAAGAGGTATGATAAAGCTCATGGAGCACGGAGAGAGTGAACCTAGTAGCGGCCAATGAAGAGGCGGGGCCAGGAGCTGTGACTCGACCTCTGTAATCACAAACAGGTGAATACAGAAGAGGCTTCTTCAGTCGAGTGTACAGAGGAGGCAGCAGAAGCAGTAGAGATGTAAAGACGATATCATCAGTCCATCACCCTGGAAGACGTATTTTTGAGGTAGTCAGTCCCTCAGCCTGGAGAAGAGTTTTGCTTCATAGTCTGGAACAATGTCAAGCTGAAACAACAATATAGAGACTTATATGGTGTCAGAGGTGAGGCGCAACCCACACGTAGACGAGAGAATGTAATTATTGAGAGGGCAGGTCCCTCTCAATAACTTGGGGTTAAATCCCAGTTCTGTAATTATAACAGGGAACGAGTAGGATTTGAATCCATAGCAAATAAGTCGTAAAACTCACAAGCCAGTGTGTTAACTACTGGGCCAGCTGGGTCTAATATGATTAATCTAACCAGCTATATTTCTAAAAACCATAAACAGGTTAGCATGGGCCACTACTGTGACCACAAATGCACACTGGCTTTGTAAGCGTGTTATTACGATTTCTTGGTCCCAAAATATCCTTAAATTTGTTTCAGATAAATGACTAAGTCGAGTTATGATGAAATAAATGTAAGACAAACTTGACGAAGCATGTTAGGAAAGTGGAGTGAGTGGACACGTATAGTGGAGTGAGTGGACACGTATAGTGGAGTGAGTGGACACGTATAGTGGACTGAGTGGACACGTAAAATGGAGTGAGTGGACACGTATACCAATAGACTTGTTGCATAGTTAAGGGGTGTGCAGGAAGGCTTGTTGCTGAAGTAAGAGGTACACAAGAAGGCTTGTTGCTGAGGTAAGAGGTACACAAGAAGGTTTGTTGCTGAGATAAGAGGTATGCAAGAAGGCTTGTTGCTGAGGTAAGAGGTACACAAGAAGGTTTGTTGCTGAGGTAAGAGGTACACAAGAAGGTTTGTTGCTGAGGTAAGAGGTATGCAAGAAGGCTTGTTGCTGAGATAAGAGGTATGCAAGAAGGCTTGTTGCTGAGATAAGAGGTATGCAAGAAGGCTTGTTGCTGAGGTAAGAGGTATGCAAGAAGGCTTGTTGCTGAGGTAAGAGGTACACAAGAAGGTTTGTTGCTGAGGTAAGAGGTACACAAGAAGGTTTGTTGCTGAGGTAAGAGGTACACAAGAAGGTTTGTTGCTGAGGTAAGAGGTACACAAGAAGGTTTGTTGCTGAGGTAAGAGGTATGCAAGAAGGCTTGTTGCTGAGGTAAGAGGTATGCAAGAAGGCTTGTTGCTGAGGTAAGAGGTACACAAGAAGGTTTGTTGCTGAGGTAAGAGGTATGCAAGAAGGCTTGTTGCTGAGGTAAGAGGTATGCAAGAAGGCTTGTTGCTGAGATAAGAGGTATGCAAGAAGGCTTGTTACTGAGGTAAGAGGTATGCAAGAAGGCTTGTTGCTGAGGTAAGAGGTATGCAAGAAGGCTTGTTGCTGAGGTAAGAGGTACACAAGAAGGCTTGTTGCTGAGGTAAGAGGTACACAAGAAGGCTTGTTGCTGAGGTAAGAGGTACACAAGAAGGCTTGTTGCTGAGGTAAGAGGTATGCAAGAAGGTTTGTTGCTGAGGTAAGAGGTACACAAGAAGGCTTGTTGCTGAGGTAAGAGGTATGCAAGAAGGCTTGTTGCTGAGGTAAGAGGTACACAAGAAGGCTTGTTGCTGAGGTAAGAGGTACACAAGAAGGCTTGTTGCTGAGGTAAGAGGTACACAAGAAGGCTTGTTGCTGAGGTAAGAGGTATGCAAGAAGGCTTGTTGCTAAGGTAAGAGGTATGCAAGAAGGCTTGTTGCTGAGGTAAGAGGTACACAAGAAGGCTTGTTGCTGAGGTAAGAGGTATGCAAGAAGGCTTGTTGCTGAGATAAGAGGTATGCAAGAAGGCTTGTTGCTGAGGTAAGAGGTATGCAAGAAGGCTTGTTGCTGAGGTAAGAGGTATGCAAGAAGGCTTGTTGCTGAGGTAAGAGGTACACAAGAAGGCTTGTTGCTGAGGTAAGAGGTATGCAAGAAGGCTTGTTGCTGAGGTAAGAGGTACACAAGAAGGCTTGTTGCTGAGGTAAGAGGTACACAAGAAGGCTTGTTTGCTGAGGTAAGAGGTATGCAAGAAGGTTTGTTGCTGAGGTAAGAGGTACACAAGAAGGCTTGTTGCTGAGGTAAGAGGTATGCAAGAAGGCTTGTTGCTGAGGTAAGAGGTACACAAGAAGGCTTGTTGCTGAGGTAAGAGGTATGCAAGAAGGCTTGTTGCTGAGATAAGAGGTATGCAAGAAGGCTTGTTGCTGAGGTAAGAGGTATGCAAGAAGGCTTGTTGCTGAGGTAAGAGGTATGCAAGAAGGCTTGTTGCTGAGGTAAGAGGTATGCAAGAAGGCTTGTTGCTGAGGTAAGAGGTACACAAGAAGGCTTGTTGCTGAGGTAAGAGGTATGCAAGAAGGCTTGTTGCTGAGGTAAGAGGTATGCAAGAAGGCTTGTTGCTGAGGTAAGAGGTATGCAAGAAGGCTTGTTGCTGAGGTAAGAGGTATGCAAGAAGGCTTGTTGCTGAGGTAAGAGGTACACAAGAAGGTTTGTTGCTGAGGTAAGAGGTATGCAAGAAGGCTTGTTGCTGAGGTAAGAGGTATGCAAGAAGGCTTGTTGCTGAGGTAAGAGGTATGCAAGAAGGCTTGTTGCTGAGGTAAGAGGTATGCAAGAAGGCTTGTTGCTGAGGTAAGAGGTATGCAAGAAGGCTTGTTGCTGAGGTAAGAGGTATGCAAGAAGGCTTGTTGCTGAGGTAAGAGGTATGCAAGAAGGCTTGTTGCTGAGGTAAGAGGTATGCAAGAAGGCTTGTTGCTGAGGTAAGAGGTATGCAAGAAGGCTTGTTGCTGAGATAAGAGGTATGCAAGAAGGCTTGTTGCTGAGGTAAGAGGTATGCAAGAAGGCTTGTTGCTGAGGTAAGAGGTACACAAGAAGGTTTGTTGCTGAGGTAAGAGGTATGCAAGAAGGCTTGTTGCTGAGATAAGAGGTATGCAAGAAGGCTTGTTGCTGAGATAAGAGGTATGCAAGAAGGTTTGTTGCTGAGGTAAGAGGTATGCAAGAAGGCTTGTTGCTGAGATAAGAGGTATGCAAGAAGGCTTGTTGCTGAGGTAAGAGGTACACAAGAAGGTTTGTTGCTGAGGTAAGAGGTATGCAAGAAGGCTTGTTGCTGAGGTAAGAGGTATGCAAGAAGGCTTGTTGCTGAGGTAAGAGGTACACAAGAAGGTTTGTTGCTGAGGTAAGAGGTATGCAAGAAGGCTTGTTGCTGAGGTAAGAGGTACACAAGAAGTTTTGTTGCTGAGGTAAGAGGTATGCAAGAAGGCTTGTTGCTGAGATAAGAGGTATGCAAGAAGGCTTGTTGCTGAGGTAAGAGGTACACAAGAAGTTTTGTTGCTGAGGTAAGAGGTATGCAAGAAGGCTTGTTGCTGAGGTAAGAGGTACACAAGAAGGTTTGTTGCTGAGGTAAGAGGTATGCAAGAAGGCTTGTTGCTGAGGTAAGAGGTACACAAGAAGTTTTGTTGCTGAGGTAAGAGGTATGCAAGAAGGCTTGTTGCTGAGATAAGAGGTATGCAAGAAGGCTTGTTGCTGAGGTAAGAGGTACACAAGAAGTTTTGTTGCTGAGGTAAGAGGTATGCAAGAAGGCTTGTTGCTGAGGTAAGAGGTACACAAGAAGTTTTGTTGCTGAGGTAAGAGGTACACAAGAAGGCTTGTTGCTGAGGTAAGAGGTATGCAAGAAGGCTTGTTGCTGAGGTAAGAGGTACACAAGAAGTTTTGTTGCTGAGGTAAGAGGTATGCAAGAAGGCTTGTTGCTGAGATAAGAGGTATGCAAGAAGGCTTGTTGCTGAGGTAAGAGGTATGCAAGAAGGCTTGTTGCTGAGATAAGAGGTATGCAAGAAGGCTTGTTGCTGAGGTAAGAGGTATGCAAGAAGGCTTGTTGCTGAGGTAAGAGGTACACAAGAAGGTTTGTTGCTGAGGTAAGAGGTATGCAAGAAGGCTTGTTGCTGAGGTAAGAGGTATGCAAGAAGGCTTGTTGCTGAGGTAAGAGGTACACAAGAAGGCTTGTTGCTGAGGTAAGAGGTATGCAAGAAGGCTTGTTGCT